ATTGAGTTGACTGACAAAACACCAATTCGTGTTAGACAATATACGATACCATATGCAAAAAGGACAGCGGTAGAGGATGAAATTAAGAAAATGCTTGAATGTGGTATCATTTAACCAGCAAATTCTGATTATATTTCTCCAATCGTTTTGGTGAAGAAAAAGGATAATACAACCCGCTTTTGTATTCACTTCAGACGACTCAACTCTGTAACAAAGTTTGATACAGAACCAATAGGCAATGTTGAGGACGTGATGGCAAAGCTCAAAGAAGATAAGTTCTTCAAAAAGATTTATTTGACCAAAGTTTTTTGGCAAATACCAATTGAAGCAAAATCAAGACATCTAACAGCATTTTCTACAACAGAAGGTAGTTACCAATTGAGAAAGATGCCATTTTGAATGGTCAATTCTTTTGCAACATTTAATAGAATGATGCGGAAGTTGCTTTCCGGCGTAAATGATACTGATAAATATGTTGACGATGTATGGTTACATGGGAGAGACATATGAAGATGTTGAGACATTTGTTCGAAAGAATATGAGAAGCAAAGATCACAGTTAAACCTTCTAAATGTATGATTGGATTTGAAAGTATACCTTTTACCGGTCATGTTGTTGGCAAAGGACAAATGCAAATGGAAGATGACACATTGATCAAAATTAGAGACGCTATGCGACCAGAGTCAAAGAGGCAACTGAGATCATTTCTTGGTCTAGCTGGACACTACAGAAAATTCATTGCTTCATTTGCAGAAATTGCTTCACCCTTGACAGATCTTACGAAGAAAGGACAGCCAAATAAAATCATATGGAAACCAGAATATGAAAAAGCCTTTACGACATTGAAGCAAGTACTGACACGATCACCAATACTACAACTTCCAGACTTGTTTTACAAAGTGATGCTTCAGATACAGGAGCTGGGGCTGCACTTTTTCAACAGTTTGATGATGGTATGCTTCCAATAGCTTACGCGAGTAAAAACTTGCTGAATAGAGAAAGAAACTCCTCGGTTATTGAAAGGGAATGTCTTGCAATGGTATTTGGAATAAAGAAATTCAACAAATATTTGTACGGGAAAGAATTTGAGCTGCATACAGACCATGCTCCTTTAACGTATATTCAGAAATGTAAAGTTGAAAGTGGCCGCATAATGAGATGAAGTTGGTTGAATTTATCTTGAAAATTGGTTCTAGTATTTATTACTAAATATTTCCTTAGATTAAATCACATCAAGACAGTCATTTCCCCTGACAAAGCAATTATGTTTGATAAATACCTTTTTATTTTTTAGCGTAGCAATTCTAAAACAAGTATATCATATAGACCCTTTTCAAATTTAATACTAGAATGAGTATTAGAATGAAATTGATTTTATACAATTGAAAGATAGTTTCAAAACGAATTGTTGTGTTTTAGGTGTACTATTATTATGAGAATACTTTTGCTAATTATTTAAAGCTGGTTTTATTAAAAATCAATGTTTTATCAAGTAATTCCCTACTAGTTTTAAACACACACGATAATACAATCACTTAATAAATAAGCACATTTGTATTTTAGCAAAGATTTATAGTTTAAACCGAGTAGTTAGCAAAGATTTATAGTTTAAACCGAGTAGTTAAGTGGTTGCTTTCAATAAGTTACATTTACTTCGTTGAAATAATGATAATCTTACTATATTTGTCATATAAATGTACCTTATCACCAGTTTTGCTGATACTTCTTCAATCACAGGTCATTTAAAATATTGCTGACGTTTACCTTATTGCAGAGCGTTATTTCTGTGCATTAATGTTAATTCAATTCATTTTAATTCATGTTTCTAAAAGGGTCAATGTAATTGAGTTAATGTTTGACATATCTTTACATGATCGTAACAGATAGATAAAGTGTGTGTTTTTATCTAATTTCAAATGAAATATAAAAAATTGCAATAAAACGGAAACAGTGTGACAGCAACCTAAATTCAAAACGTAATAATACATAATTATTGTTGAAACGGTACTATAAAAATCCACACAGGATTAATCTAGTTTATTGTGAAGAGCATTTATAAATAACTTTTTAATTATTAAATACATTTTCTCTTATAGTGGCTCATACTGTGAAACATCTGATTTTTGATGTTTTTGTCCTGACGAGCAAGGTTTAGAATCCTAGAGAAAGCAATATGTTATGTTATTGGTATTTCAAAACCGTTAATAGCTAGTGATTCTTATAAAAAATAAAAATAGGATTCTCTCTTCCATAGAAGTTTTACTACAATTTTCTACTTTATTAATCAAGCTTTTAAATGTGTCTCTTATTTCTAGAATTGATATTGATTTAGATCATTGCTATATAATTCATTTGCTTAGTATATTGTCACGAGCTGAACGGCATTTTTAAGTTTCCAATATTTATTTGATAATCCATTGGAAAAAAACACTATGAAAATGGAATTGTACACCATACACAAGTAAAGATATGTTAAAATATATGAGACTATTTATTGATAACCCTTATCATTTTCAAATATCCACACCATGCTTTCCTCATCCTTTGGCTAATTAAAATAAACCCATGTTTCATCGCCAGTCACGATTTCATTCATGCTTTAATTATAGAATTATTGTACCTATCGAGCAGCTGCGACACAAATATTACGTTCTCTCTTTTCTGGTCATTAGTTAAGAAGGGAGGTTACCGGGCGCTTACCTTACGACAAGATGAGAGACTGGCGACAAATGTTACATAAATGATCACCACCGCTGTTTAATGTGTGTAACTTAATATTTCGATAAATACGCATAATTCTCGCCCTATATCTTTATTTTGTCAGCGGATTGTAAAAACATGATGTTTTAATAAGGTCTAACCTTGACCAAAAATAGTGTTTTATTTATAAATGTCTTATTTACATAGTGAATTGTAAAATTATTAATCATACAAACTTTCGACGTAATTTCCCAGTTTAAACTGTAAAATTTTAAGACTACTTGACACCTTATTCAATGTTACGTTACGTACACTTTAATTTTAAGATTTCATTCCCATGGTGTGTCAATAAAAGTGGTAGTCCTTTCTTATCTATATTAGAACTATATCAACAGATGAATATTGTTCGTATTAAATCTTAGTTGAAGGCTTCCCCAAAAATAAACATCTTTAACATCAAATTTCATTGAATCCTCGTGCTACTTTAAATTAAAACACTATTCATCGGCTGATTAAGTGTTACCAGAAGTTTGTTTATCATATTGTATCTGTATATAGTATAACCCCATGTTGTATTGTCATGTACCGTGGGAAGGAATATAGAGATATATTCTGTTCTGATTTCAGCACATTTAGTTTGTGAAGATTTGTTTTTCATCATTTTTTTATTTGATACGTATTTTATGTACATCATATACATGTATAATAATTGATATTGAAATCAAACCAATAGAATTTAATGTAAAAAATCTTCAGAAATTTTCGTAAGACTAAATGTTATAAAATTCTTTTATAATGTCTTTTACATGATATTTGTAGGGTAAGACACATATTTTAGTTAATATTAAATGACTTAAAAATAGACCATATCAAAAAGTATGTAAGTAATGATAACTATATACACAATTAAGACCACCCTGAATTTTAAGACCATATTGGTCCAGCTCTGATGGTGGTCTTAATTGAGGGATTTTTCTGTAGAACTGTAAAACAAAAACTAAACTGTGTCATGTACCATGTAAGGTAAAGGCATACTTTGAATTTAAATAGTTCCCTGTTAAATCTGAAAGTAATCAATGTCAATCAAATTGTAATCATAATTACTGACAGACTAATAGTTGTTATTGATGAATTACAATATTAATATAATCAATTTTGGGTGAGGGGCTAACTTTTAGCAGTTATTGATGAATTACAATTAATATAATCAACGTTGGGTGAGATAACATATTACGTGATGATTACAGTGTAATTATGTAATCGATTAAACAATTAATGATTGTTGTGAACGATTACCCCAGGTCAGTTAGTCGTACGCTATTATAGTTCGGCTCATACTGCAAATGTTTGTACAACAAAGAGAAATACTAGAACTTTTCTACTTGTATGCCATTTATATTTTGAAATCGCATCCAAGAATATAAACATAGTTAAAGATATTATAGATAGATAAAAAGGTAAATGTAAACTGTACTGGTAGAATCTAATGAACTAATATGCTGACTCAGTTTAGATTACTTACTGAATTATGATTATATATTATGCCGCCACGTATAGAGAATGATAGTTATTTTGACGCGTCAATATTTTTAAACGTAAAGTATTGTTCAGAGTGTCCACAAATTGATAACTGTAAACACAGAAGATGCACGTCTTCATGGAACACTAAGTGTCTAGAGTGTTATGACAATAAAATATTCTTCAAGAAAACGTACAGTGACACAAAATGTGAACGTAAGTTGTTTTACATATCAATTGGAAATAAAACACTGTAATTATGAAAAATATCAGTAAAAAGGTCGCCATGCATAGAATTTTAAAACATCCACTCTATGAATCTAGTTTCATTAAATATTTAATTTTTATCTGATTATTGCATTATATAACAGGAAAAAAATAATGGAAAATATGTGTACACGTATAATTTAAAGGTGTGATAAAATAGGTAAGGGTCGGGGGTATTTATTTACTCTATTTTAAAAAATACCAAATCAACTTATAAGTCTTTTAAAATATTCTTTCTAATTGAAGAATATAATGACATGATATGAATCTACTAAAAACAACTACTTTGATTCCAAAGTTGACAAAGAAGAAATTTACTGAATTGGAAGAAATATGTAAGAAACCATAGCACAAGACTCTTTCAAACCCGTAATTAATTTAATTTAATAGGTGTGTGTTCTTGGAACAATCACTACTGTTGGCCCGGAAAATGTGGTGACGATCTGGCGAGAGAATGCACTTGCGCTCCAACTTTCAAAATTATACAGCAAAGTGGAGAAACTTCCTGTCAGCCTAAAAAGCTACCGTCTATTTTAACATGTGGAACGGTTGCGATTGGTCCTAATATGGAGAAGAAACAGGCTAGAAGCAGTACACATTCTACAGAGTGTAAATATCTAACTGATATGTACGGTAACTTTCAGCCGTCGTATTTCAAGTTTGATCTGGCTGCGGAATATACCATCGACATTAAAGGCTATTTGACACCGGATTTCATAAGTGAATCAAAGTTTGGTATAACAGACTTTGCTACAAATGTCGTCAAAATCCTTTTCGATGGTAAGATTTTTTTTTCAAAATAGAAATTTACTCTTATCTGCTTTTTGAATGGGTATTTAAATATATTTTAGATTTCTATTAAAACTCTATACATATTACACTATATATGACAATTTTTTATTCAGGATTTTCATTTGAGTTAACAAAGTTTTTACGTATTCATTGTAACAAGTTTTACAAAATGTGCTGATAAAAAGGCTTAGATATTGAACTCTGATATATCAGAATAATACGAGCCTAATCGTTGTCAAAACGTAAACGCAATATAAACGGCTACAATTTTATACCAACATCAGTTTAAAAGCAGGACTATATGCTTAAAGTATGCAGGTACAAGAAATAGCTGAAAATACATTACTAGTTAGAAATACGGGTTTAAACGCAAAATTGTACATCTAATGCTTCATGGTGAAACAGTAAGGTTTGCTAACTTGTTATTTCTAGGAAGGCGTTCTGCGGGAAGTCTTATCAATCATTTAGTGGACAGATCTTCAAGCGTTAATTGTAATCAGACACATTTTGACTCAGATAATATTACCGTTACCTCTGCTAACTTTGATCTTCAAGATGGTCAAGCGTAAATATTGTTGTTTTATTTTTGTCTTTAATCTATCGTTATTAATCGTTCTGACTCATTTGCATTTTCCGTAAATTGGTAAGATCTGTATACTGACAAGACCATTTTACAAGACTTTTGTTTTACTTTTTTTTTTTAATGTCCAAAATGTTTGTTTTAATGAAATGTGTTGGTTTACTTTATGAACAGTGATGGCGCATGCTCGAAATTATTACTCATTATTTCAAAGGATTTAAAAAGCCCTTCTGAATGTATGTAGGGAGTCGGGCGAAATTTGCTGTTTCTTGTTTAAAACACCTACGTTTCCACCTGGTAAAAAGGTGGCACAGATTCCTGATGTTTTTATTGTTTCCATCATTTACTTTATATATAAATATTGTTTATACTTCATTTTGTAGATTTGATACCTTTTTAATTACCTCTTTTTGTAGATTATGTCTTCAATTCCGCGTGGATGCAGGTGGTTACCTAAAGAGCAAAAATATTATCACACACACAACTTCTGACGCAGTACCTTATCAAAAGGTCAGAAACACTCGTGAGCTTTGCTACAAATATGATATCTCACCTGCAATGCACTGCCGAGAAAAGGGACATTGCAGTTACTATCCAATTCAATTTGAAAGCCGTGTGACGCGATCTACAGATATCGATGTACGTTTTATTGGTTGGTTTGATCCGGTTCCATCTGGTGGAAAATCGAACCAGGCATCATCTATTGAAAGTTATCAGTTAACGGTTAACGAGGTTACTGTATCAACACACAACATACAGGTTAATTACCTGTCACGTGTGTATACAAAGAAGGTTGATTTCAATACGAAGAGAATATCGCTAAACCTGACCTCTGAAAAACCTAGATTATACTGTCTTACGTTGGAAGTAAAAGATGTGGCTGATAATGTAAAACAAGCACGGCGATTCATCTTGTATGACAACTCGTCTTTTATTGAAACCTGGGACGATAAACCATTTTATGTCACATCAGCTTCGATACAAACCAACTATAAATGGCAGACTCATCATCATGACATATGTCTTAATTGGAAAGATCATTTTCTCAACCGATTCTACTTCGACAACCCTTTGCTAGACCCCATTGCACCGGAACCTCATGGATTAGTTTCTGGCATTTATGAACAAAACGATGGCTTACTTCCAGTTTCTGGTACTCCAAACGTGTATGGTATTGTACAAACTCTGGTTTCCTGGACTTTAAATGATGGGTCTCCTTCTACAGAGATCAAAGTGCCAAATTTTCAAAACCAGTCCTTTTGTAAGGACTTGAAAGTGAAAGACGGCCAAACGTACACAATATTTATCCGTTCTATTGATATTGCTAATAACACTTTTATTGAAAACAAGACAGTTCATATTGACCGATCCGTACCTCATATAAACAATATTTGGCTCGTTAAAGATGGTAACAAAGTCCTGTTAGTTGACACTATGACAGATTTTTCAAAGATGTATTTGCAGTTTGAAGCTCTAGATCCACACAGTGGCGTTAGACAAATAGAGTGGGCCTTTGGTAATACCACCACAGAACTAACTTCAGGTTCTCTGAGTGTAGGATCTATGAAAGAAGTAAGGCGAAATATAACTATGATAGCTAATTTAAATAATTTAGGAAATAAAAAAGACTTACGTCTTATAATGTATTCATATCAAAGGAAGATCCAGTTTCGTGTAATGCTACTAAAACTAGTACGTTAACATAAGACATATAAAAACGTTTTTCTTTAGATTCATTAAATTTTTTAATGATATCAACAAACAAAATTCATTTTAAGTTTAAAGATTTCTAAACAGACAGCGGAGGCTTACTACTTTTATGCTTAAATTGTTACTGTCATCATTCCTGATCTTTAAAGAGAAACACATTCTTTAACATTATTTCAAGTAATAATTGGTGATGTCTAGAATATACAATGTCTACAATATACAATGGTGTTCAAACAAGTCATCGTATTCTGTAGAATTCTTGATCACAGTTTATTGTCATAACTTTCAATTCTATCTAAACAATATGATGATGAATCACGAGACAAAAATAAAAAAAAATGTAACAGCTAATAAATAGGTCCAAAGTACTATGTTTCACATTCAAGTAATGAAATCAAAAATCTGGAAACAAAGTGATCCCTCGGAATCATTAATCACAACAAAATTACAAGAGAAGTCAAGTCAAGTTTTGTTAAATTTAATCATCTATCTTTATTAATTAATAACGAATAAGATCAAATAATGTTTTTACATTTTGTCAATTTAGCTCTTTTTAAGCCTGTTAATTCAAAAATACTTATAACAGAAATTCAAGTGTGCACTCCAAGTCGCTAATCGTTTTTATTTACAGAACTCCTGCCCACAGAGTGCTGAAAGTTGCTATTGCCCAGATGTCGGACAATGTGAGATTTTTAACTACACTGTACCACTTAACAAGCTTCTTTTGATCAATACACATGTGGATAATCACAACAATAATTACTATTTCACTTTGAAAGTCACCAACAACGCATACTTGTTTAACATAGAGCGTGTGGATGTTTTCGTCAATAATTCCCAACCAGTGCTTGGCGTTCACTTTGAGGGTAAAGGTTTTGTCTTCACAATTTTTTTTCAGCGCAAATTACCGTTATATTCTCAATGCATACCTAATCGCCAATGATTTACAAAGGCCCCCGCTTTCTCGACATGATAAGATTTCTAACTGTGATTTTTACTCACCTGGGAAAAGTTGGCGGCTCATACTAAACTATTTCTCAACTCTTGATTTTTTTCTTTGATAACGGATTATTGAGACATACATTGAGCCAAGCATTTGTCTCCATGCATATAATCGGGAGCATGAAATAACCAGTGGGAAATTCAACTTTTATTGTCGCTGTGCAATTAAAAGACCAGTTTGCCTTTAGAACGGTCGTGAAAGAAGGTCCAGGGTTTTAGTTTAATTTGTGTCATTATGTATAAAATAGTTTGTCTATAGTTTATATTTTTCAAAGTTTCAAACCAAAGCGGCTTTTATTTTGTTTTAACAATTTAAAGAAATGCATTGTGAGAACAAATCTAATAATTGATGCATCATTTACAGTTTATAGATTTATTATGTATAGTTCACGAGAGAACCTAAATAAGACATCTGAGCTCAACGATTTATAATGATAAGCAACGGTGCATGTCTGATTGCTAGATACAAATGTGTACGTACTCGTTATAAAAACGCGCATGATTGCAATTTTACATGAATGTATTACTGCATATGATCTACTGATTCCAGAAATTTGAAAAAAAATGAGTTATTGATTTGTATTATACATACTTGTACCAGTACATATTCCAGGATTTACACATATGATCGCAAATAATATTCGTAATAATATCAGAGATATTTTTGAGAATGAATCCAAAAAATTGATTTTTAGATACAAAAGCAGTTATGTTTTGCCAAAGGCTGGTTATATCCGAAACCTAAACAAATTTAACAAATTGACAGGCTTCAAACCTTCTGATCCCCTTTCAAAATTCCATTTTTTTAGTTCCGCCCATTGTTTTCTCGTTTAGGGCACATGCATTTTTAACTTAGGGACCATATGCCGCTTTTCATGGAATGGCACTTACGTGTCACATTGAAGGTTCCATGATAACCGCCATATGAACACACCTGCGGATGTTTCAAAATTCAAAATTGTACTAGTTAATGCGAAATGTTGAATTCTGCTTAAGCCGGTGTTAGGGGGCGTGGACGGTAGTTTGCACTTGACAGTACCGTCCATGAACAGACTAAATCAAACCGAGCCTGCAACATTTTCAATTTTCCCGTGTTGGGCTTTCTTTAGGGATTCTTATTTTCACTTTTTTATAGCACAAAACATTAAGGATATCTTTGAAAAGACGAGTATCTGTAATTCAGTTCTAAATAACTCAAATGGCCTTGAGCAAGGTTTCGCAGATGAATTGCACGATTTGGTACAGAGCTGGGGCGATATAATACTTTGCTTAAGAAACAACGATCATTGAGTCATACCCCAAGGGTTTAATCAACTACGACGATTCATTTTAATGCAGGTTACAGTTCAAATTAGAAACCTTTGGGTATTTTAGACTTATTCATGTAAATATTTATTCTACTTTTAAGACTCGAACATATTTTAAAGGTTGGCAATATATCTTGATTGTTTCATTTTATATGTATTAAAACGTTGTACATTAATGAGACACTTAAACATATTGTAATAATGAAGTAAGGGCAGGAGTGGACAATTCAAACAACACAGTTAATTTATCTGCTTCTCTTGGTTTCTTTAATGCTAATTTATTTGAATTAAGAAATTAAAAATCATTTAATAGATCGGATTCTAGCTAAAAGTTTATCGCGAATAAACACACAGAACGACAGTATACATGCTATATTCTTATCTAAGCAGTTTGTGAGTGTCTTTTTATTTCAAAAGCTTGCACTATTGATATAGCCTATCTTTAAAAGTTATAACAATTATGTTTGATAAATACCTTTTACTTTTTTTAGCGTAGCAATTTTAAAACAAATATATATATATAGACTTTTTAAATCTAATTGTACAATGATTGATAGGGTAAAAGACACATAATAAATAAACATATTTGTATTTTAGCAAAGATTAAAAAGTTACGCCGAGTTGTTTAGTGGGTTGCGTTCAACAAGGAACATTTTTAAATTAGTAGTTGATATAATGATAACATTTCTACAGTTTTACATAAATGTACCTTATCACAGTTTTGCAGATACTTCCTCATTGAATTACGTTACGTGTGTTCATATTAATATTTAATTAATTTTAGTTCATGTTTCTTTAAGGGTCAATTCAATTGAATAATGTTTTGACATGCAATACAACAGTCACAACAAACAGTTTATCTGAGTGCTTTTATCTAGTGTTTAATCAAATCATTTGGAATAAACGGGAATAGATTGACAACAGCGTAAATTCGAAACGTAATAGTACATCATTGTTGAAATAATGCTCGATAACGTCCACGATGGATTAATTTAGTATATTGCGCAGAACATTTAAAAAACGTTATAAAAAGATATATTTCGTAAAGTACTATAGTGACTCATATGGTGAAACTTCAGATTTTTGATATGTTTCACACTGACGAGCAAGGTTTAGAGTCCTTGAAAGCAAACTTTTTTGTATTACAAAACTGTTTATAGCTAGTGGCTGTTATAAAAAAATTCAAGTATAGGACTCTATCTTCCAATGAAATTTTGCTTTAATATTCTACTTTATTCATAAAGCTTCTGGGTGTCTGACTTATATCTTGATTTGATATTGTTTTACCTCATTGCGGTGTTGTTCATTGGCTTCGTTCATTGTTATTTTCAAGGCTCCAATATTAATTTGATGATCTATTGATAAAAAACATAGATAACTGCTATCATTTTCAAAGAACTTTCATGTTTTTTTATCCTTTGGCTGATCAACATAAGTCCATGTTTCAACTGCAAGCCACGATTTCATTCAAGCGATTTCAGCAAGAAATCTGGTACCTTTAGAGCAAATGTGATGCAATTCGTACGCGCTTTCCCTCTTTTTGCCACCGGTAGAGAAGTGATGTATGAACATGAAGTAAATTAATAACATTTGACAAAATATGAGAAACTGAAGACGAATGCTGCATCAATGACATATTTCTTTCACTTAAGAAATCGATAAAAACACGTAATTATTGTCCTATACGTTCATTCATGTTTTATGATATTCGAAGGGAGAGATATAGTCGCCGCTTTGCCTGTCCGTCGTTCGCATGTTGTCCGGGACATAACACTGAAACTTCATGAGGTATCAACAAAACTATATAAGGTAATTAGATTTCATTGAGCAGAAGTGCAGCGCATTAGAAACGTAATTCTACCTTGCCTGAGGTTAGAGAAATTGTCTTTAATTGTAAATCTACACTTTGAACTTTGTCGTGGACACAATTACGAAACCATAAGAGGTATCAACAAAACACTTTTATGATAGGTAGATCTCATTAAGTAGAAGTGCTAATTTTGGAGTATTTGGAGTATTTGCCTTTCTTCATTTTTACACTTGAACCGGGACATAAGTCTGAAATCACAAGATCTTGGGCTTAGTGTTGTTTTGAATGTTTAATTTACACACAATTATATGTAGTCAAAAAAAAACTCTTGTTACACTCTCTGATTTTAAAAGGAAATATTTAATTTCGAAAAGCAAACAATTACTAGGTCACTTAATACCGTGTAAAGCGTTTTCAGTATTTGAGATTACCATTTATAACAAAACAGAATGAAATTTTATCGACTTATACAGCTTAAAATATAACTAGTCCAAACATTATTTATATCAACATACATGTAAGCACCATTTTATCATATGCTTACTACTCACGAGTTATATACTAGTTTGGCTAAGGGATACTTTAAACAAGAAAAAAATATACTTGGTTATTTGCTTATGATAACCTTTCGGCATGAAACAAGTCTTATAATCAGTTTTGGTGAAACTATTTGAATTCAAGTACGTTAAATATTTGCTTCTTGATTTTTCCTTGTGTATGCGATCTGATTCTTTGAGCTTATTTTATTAACTTATTTTTCACTAAAATGCAAATTATTCTTAATTAAAACGAATTAACAAACTAATTGCAAAACACACGACTATCAAACATAAGAGATAGAAAGATAAAGGGGAGAAAGGAGGAGGGAGATGGATTGTTGAATAAAGTTGTGGGGTTTTTTTACTATTCCCCAAGAAAATAAAAATAGTCAGAATAAAATGAGTATAGTAAGAAAACAACTTATATCCAGAACTTAAAAATAAATTTATGGTAATATAGTTGAAAAGACGACAAACCTAAGGGTAAATAAAAATACATTTGTATTGATACATGTTTCTTGTGGCAGATACGGGCGAATAAACCCTACATTAGATAAAATGACCCTAAGCACTACATAAATATTAGAGTCATGTCAGTAAGACTGACATGCTCTCGTTTATTCAAGCAGCAAGTTAAAAAAAACAATTCAACGTTGCTAAAACCCTTATTGACAAGTTCTTAAAACAGCTTATGGCGTGGGAAAGTGCGGGAAATATCTATCGGTTGGAAGGTTAAATCTATAACAAAAAAGGACAGTCTTTGTATATATAAAGCATACTTATATTTTGACCTTATCATTTTTATTTCAATATGAACAGTTGGTCATTCACTGTTTGTAACAATCAACATTTTGAAATATATAATATGAATTAAATATAAAGTATAATTCATCTCAAATTTACAATGGAAATATGAGCATAATGCCACATAAAAGCTGTTCTTCATTCATTTAACACACACATCATAGCAGGATATGACATCTCTTGTACATGTTTCTCTAATTATAACGTATAACAGAAATATTTCAGTAAATATTTTGACTATACTTGTTACTCTCAGCAGGTTATTTTTTAAAAAAAAACTTGGAGTATGAACGTTTCTATTCTATAAATAAGAAAACATACACAGCAACGTTATCTATTGTTAAAAAGATAAAACTAAATTACGACTATAGTGGCGAAAAGAATTGTTTTAATTTAAATTAATCTTCTTTAAATGATTTTATCAAATATCTTTAGTGTTGTTATTGTTATTCATAACAACATAGTTTCCATTGTTAAAGTTTGATATTTTCGTCTTATTGTTAACGTTCACATGAACTCACAGACATTGTATGTACGGCAGGATTTAGCTGAAAGAATATGTAAAGTTCTATCAAGTTGATTTGTTGTTACAATCTTATTCTATATACGTCTGTGAACATAATTCATTTACGCACTGATCTTGCAAATATTTGAAGTTGATACTTATGAAATATCATTTCACTCCAGAAGTCAGTTATTTGATAATAAAAACCAGGGAACAAATGTATCTGTATACTTGTATTTCAGAAATTCCTCAGACTTTTACACTTCATCTAGAACATCCACCAAGTAAGGATCATGATCTTACCTGCAATGCGGTAACTTTAAAATGTACTACTGGGTGTATTTTTCTGACACCATCATTTATATGGTACTATTTGCAGGTAATAAATTCCCGAGAAACTATAATTTTCTCTTTGTTTTCTTTCTGTAGAAACAAATAATTTTCTCGTTTTCAGACCAGAACGATCAATTTATTTAAACACTCATTAAAACATTAAAAGGCACTGATGATATTCTACTTTTTCTGTAGCCTCCGCTTAAGGTGGTCATTGATATTTGATAAATAAATTAATAAACTTAAATGATTTTAAAATTTGAATGAAGCGGTGTGTATATATTTCGGCAGAGTGGTTAAGGTCGTTGACTTCAAACCACTTGCCGATCACCGTTGTGGGTTCGAATCCCGACAGGGATTTCGGATTATTTCATGTGAGGAGGCTATCCGGCTAGCTTACGGAAAGTAGGTGGTTCTACGCAGGTGCCCGTTCGTTCCTGAAATAATACACGGAAGGGCACCTCAGGTCTTCCTTAACCAGTAAAGATGGAACGTCACCATATGACTTATACTGTGACGTAAAACCCGATCGAACAAACAAACAAAATCTTGTTTCCTTAACATGACAAGAAAAACACGTGGTATGGGCACACTGATGATTTATGCAGTAACTCATATTCTTATTTTATAGTCGGATGGATTAGAATCTATTTGGTCAGATTCAGAACCTGTAACACATACAAGTGGGCAATGTAAAGAATTTGAAGTGGTGTTTACCTCTACTTTAGTACTTCAAAAGTACACTGTGTTTAATGACGTTACTGACCATACCGTCAGGTTTCAATGTGGTGCAACGATTTTAAATAGTACTACCGATGAAGTTAAAACACAGTCATCTGTAAATATTAGATATGCCGGTAATTGATTTATTTTGCTATCTTTTTTCACCTGTGCCGCTGTTTTTGTAACATATATTTGTCTCTTCACATCATCTTAAGGAACTGTAAGAGTTTAAAAAGTTAATGAGAGTGTTAATTTTCCATTTACATGATTGCTTTATTTATTCTTGCCTATTTATTGTTATCGAAGGATCTACCGTTTTCAAAATTCCCGAACTGGTGTGAAGTGTCATATTGCAGTGCAAAAACTTGTGTTGTCCTTTGTGTAATTGATTCCAGTACTTTTAGTGTTAGAGACTGAATACCGATAAGGACGTTATTTCAAAAGATTGCGTAATTGTCGACTATTTGCTTTGTTTTTATGCTGTAAAAGAATCTTCTCTTCTAAGATTTCTTTATTGTAACTGTAATATTTATTGAACTGGTGTTTGTTTATCAACTCTTATATAACTCTTAGGTAATCCTGATTAAATTTTGACATATTTAGTTATAGTACTTTCGTAGATTTCATACTAGTCATGTCTCATTTTACAGTTAGAGTGGCGAAGGTATCACTTAAGATTGGAAATAGTTCTAAGGCCAGTTCTCTAAACGTTACCGATGGTATTTCGGAAATATTCAAATGTACAACTAGCTATAGCAGACCATTACCTACAATTGTATGGTATATAGGACGGACAGAAAAAATAAGAGTTGTCGGTACTGAATCAACCCTTGCATTCATTGCTAGTAAAGCAGATACTGGCAAGGATGTTTATTGCAAAGCTTTCAATATTCAGCCAGAAAATGAAGCACTATTCTCCAACAAAGTTTCTCTCCATGTTAAAGGTAAATGCAATCATGTATTTGTCTATTTAGTTATTGTAATTCATTTTCATTTTTAGAAAAAAATGCAAAATAATATTTTATATAACCTTGCAAAAATGCATATAATGTACATAACACCTTCAAAATTTCATGATTATGGAAAGATTGCTTTAAGACTTTTAACGACAATCATACACTACTTTAATTAAAAATAAAAGGCTAAGGGTATATAGGAGACATAAATACAAATTACCCCAATAAATCAGCGTACTAGGAAAAAACATAACAAAAGTTATATCATGTTACAGCCTTTGATTGATCCTTCTCTTTGACATTTTTATCGATACAAGCAAGGATAGAAATGCTAAAATATCATAAGAGTAAAACATTTTCCTTCTTTGTTTAACGTTCTCCACGGCCTGATTGGCAAGCAATTTCGAACACAACTTGCTCTATTGGCGCGCCTGTTACATTAACATTTACTGCTTTTGCATATCCAACGTCAAGTTGTGATGGTTTTAATTGGTACAAAAAAATCTCAAATGAATGGATACCATTACAAAGTAACAAGGATGTACAAATATATGTAAAAGGACTGGAAACACACCTTAATATTTTTTATGTATCTCAGGCAGACCTAGGCCAATATCGATTAACAGTTGAAAATATCATCGGAATATATAACCAGTATTATTTCCTTATTGAAAAGGTAGGTTTCATGATTTTTGTATAACTATGGATTTTTTGTGCCGCCACTTTGGGGGGGGGGGGGCATTTATTTACATATACCCTTGTCCGTCTGTCCGTCCGTTCTCATTTTGTGTCGCACGTAGCTCAAAAAGTATTTGACCTAGAGTAATGAAACTTTACAGGAATGTTTATCAGCATGTGTAGTTGTGCACTTGGGTATTTTCATGTGGATATATTTAGTATTTTTTATAGTTCTTGCCCTTGACATAGTTAATATTTACTTTTTTCAACTTGTGTCGCATGTAACTCAAAAAGTATTTGACCTAGAGTCATGAAACTTTACAGAAATATTGATCAACAAGTGAAGCTGTGCACCTTGGTATTTTCATGTAGATATATTTAGTATTTTTAGAGTTATTGCCCTTGACTTAGTTAATATTTGCAATTTTCAACTTTTGTTGCACGTAACTCAAAAGGTATTTGACCTAGAGTCATGAAACCTGAAAGGAATGTTGCTCATTATGAGCAATTGTGCACCTAGGGTTTCTTTTGTGGATTTATTCTGTTTTGTTAGAGTAATTGCCCTTGACTAAGTAAAAAATAGTTACAATTTTCAACTTGTGTCGCATGTAGCTCGAAAAACTATTTGACCTTGGGTCATGAAACGTTACAGGAATGTTGATCAGCATGTGCAACTGTGCACCTATGTATCTTTGTGTTGATATATTTAGTATTTGTAGAGTTATTGCCCTTGACTTAGTAAATATTTACAATTTTCAACTTGTGTCGAGCCTATGACCTAAAGTCATGAAACTTAACAGGAATGTTGATAAGCATGTGAAGTTGTGCACCTGGGGTTTCGCTTGTGGATTTATTATGTTTTGTCAGAGTTATGTTCTTTAACTTAGTAAAAAATTGTAATTTTCAACTTGTGTCGCACGAAGCTCAATAAGTATTTGACCTAGGGTCATGAAACTTTACAGGAATTTTCATCAGCATGTGTAGTTGTGCACCTGGGTATCGTGTTGTTTTATTTAGTATTTGTAGAGTAATTGTCTTTGACTTAGTAAAAATTTGCAATTTTCAAATTGTGTCGTGCGTAGCTCAAAATGTATTTGACCTAGAGTCTTAAACTTTACAGGAAAGTTTATCAGCATTTGAAATTATGCACCTGGGGTTTCGTTTGTGAATTTATATGTTTTGCCAGAGTAATTGCCCTTTACTTAGTAAAAACCATTTCATTATGTTGTGTTAATTGTTCCTTGAGTGCTTGAGTTAGAATCAACCAACTTTGCATAAATAATGATCTACCTCACTGTAAAGCTAAAGACCTGGGATTTAGCATATGGATTTTTTCAGTTTTGTTAGAGTTATTTCCCTTGACTCAGTATGAATTTGCAATTTTCAACTTGTTCATGCAAAGCTCAAAAAGTATTTGACCTGTAGGCATGAAAGAATACAAGAATGTTGGTCAGCATTTGTACTTATGTACATTGGGGTTCGCTTGTGGATTTCTTTAGTATTTGTAAAGTTCTTGTCCTTTACTTAGTAAAAGATTTTTAGTTTTCAAATTATGGGACACGTAGCCCAAAAAAGATTTGACCTAGGTTCATAAGATAGACAAAACAGTGGAGTGTGGGGGCAACCGTGTCCTATGGACACATTTCTAGATTTTATTTTGTATTGTTATCATATTAATGGCTTGACCTTGAATAATATTTTTAAAACAATTTGTAGAAGAAATATCGTAACGCAAGTTTCTGGTGAGTATCACTGGCAAATTCACATCATCAAAACGTTGGCAACTCAGTTCTGTCAAAGATTAATTTATCCATTTGAGTAACAAATGCGTGAATTTTTTTATTTCATAATGAATGTTTTAGATGACCCCAGTGTTGATGTTGGCTTAGAAACTATGGACAGTAGTGATTTCAAAACTGCCACAATAGTATTGGGAATAATCTCTGTCATATGTGCTGGTACTTCAGCAGGCATCGTGATTTGGTTTAAACGAAAAACCAAAGGAACAGGTAACTATGTCGTAAAGACTTTGATGATTGCCATATATATAATTTTCTAATTTTCAATTCTGGTTTTATCATTGGATTCAAACTTCCTAGATTTTAATCTAGATTATAATTTGACAATGGTAGACACATAATTATATATTAAATTTTGATCATACTAAAATACTAAATCTTAATTTAAGTAAATGCGCAACCAAAAAAACATGTAAATGTAAGTCTAAACCTTTTTTTTGGCAGTTTGAAAGATAACTGCAATTGATTTAAACAGGTAGTGCAATCATGCGAAATATGAAGTCCAAACTTTATACATTTATTAGGTGATAAACATAAATTAATCGCATTCTTTTATGTATTAGTCGTTGAGCCATGTATATCATTTATCATTGATGTCATTTTTACATTTCATAACAATGTTTGTTAAGGTTTCAAGATTAATACGTTCAACAGTATAAAATAATTTGCATAAAAAATTGCAATGTACAAAACTTCGATTCAATTGTTGATGTGTTCACTTATTTGCAAACAAAATGCAAATATACGAAAATCTTCTACATTGCAGATAGCAAATCATGCACTAAGTCACATAAAAGGTATGTGTTTCTGTTTCGTTTTTGATAAATAGTTTGATATCTTGTATTTATCACGTCTAGTTTTATATTTGAACTGTTAAACTATTGTAAGTAAATACAATTCAGTGGAGCACTTCCATACATACAAACATCTTTATTTACGAGCGTCAAAACAGAAGGTCAATAGTCTTGCATCATCTTCGACGTCTACGGAGGAATGGATAATAATCCTTGGTTTGAGTTGAAGATATACACATTAACTGAATAACAATATAATAAATTCCAATGATAATCAGTAACGTAAACATTTTTTTTTGTATTTTCATAAACCAAATTGGTAGCTTTGACAATACACCATACGAAACAGAAATGCAGGAATGTACCGGACGTGTATACGAGAATCTACCGCAACAATATGCTGATTTAAAGGCGTTCTCCAGAGACGACACGACAACCTATGACGTTATAGATAATAGCCAATACCATTCAAGTACTTAAAACATTGGACTATAGAGATAACATTAACACTATCCCAATACAGTCGCTGCAAAAGCTGCTATTGAACTTCTGATCATTCTTCTAAACTTATCGAGTTGTCTATTCATAAAAGAAAAAACATATCTTTATATCTAAGTGAAAATGTGATATTTTTATGTACGGAATATTTTATTGAATAAATTGCTTTGTGGAAGTGTTTAAATGTTGACGTAAGTGAAAAATGTATTTGTCATTTTAATGCGTACCTGTAGCCTTTTCGGTATTCAAGAAAGGGGATTTTGCTAAATATCCAAATCAATGGAATGAACACGGAGTGGTGCTGTTACTGTTAAGTGTGCAAACGTGTAAAAGTATTCGAGCAAAAACATTACAAAGGTATGGCATACATATTTAGCTAATACCTCTAATAACATGATAATACATAGATTATTGATCGTGCATATAAACACCTATAAACATCATAGGTAAATTTAACTATTACAAGAACAAGTGGTCTTACAAATTCTTTACACAGATATATAATAAACAGTATCTCTAAAGGCAATAATGAGATAGTCATTTAACAGTAACATGTAAAAAGTTTCACAGGTTTATATAATATGGCGTTATCAAAGCCATCGTCACTAATTAAGGGTTTTCTTCTAACATGTAACAACCTGAATGTCATAGTTATTGAAAGTAGCTAAGATGAATGCTAAGGATAAATATATCTGCAAATGCTTCAACATTTGATTTAAATGAGCATGACGTGTTCAATATTACATTTTGTATGTGTTTCCTTTTTCCATCTAAATAAGAGTATGTATAACTAATTCCTTGTTATTTGTCGGTCGTTTAGCTTGGAATTGTACTGAATTGTAGCGTGTATCATGTTTGTGTTGTTTTATTGTTGTGATCTGCAAGAAACGCATATATTCATATAGCAAGAGGCAAAAAGAAATAAATTTCAAAACAAAACAAATGTGTTCAATTGTTTTCATTTTTATCATAAAAACAAAAAAGGAAGTTTAATAGGTACATACATATTTAGCTTTAATAAAAAGTGTGCTGCTAAACATTTAAGACACAATTGTCTACTTAGTGCTCTACAATTGTTTAGACACCATTTCAATGTATGAAATAAAACGGAATTGGTTTAAAAATTATACTCAAATTTGATATTTAAAAATTACTTATAGTTCCTATATAGTCTCTTTTCAAATGTAAAATAAGGATCTGTTGAGTACAAATATTGAAGATATTTTACAAATTAAACTCTACATACTATAAGGTTAAAACATTAAATGAATTCATAGTGTCATTCAAGAAACTGGACTTTCTAACCTGGCAGTTAGAGGGATTGCAGCTCCCCAAATATAGTTTGTACATTCTCTTATTCAAATTAGACATGATCAGAAAGAATTTCCTAGATTTCAAAATTTTTGCAATAAAAGTATTTTACCAATGTTAAGGATAGAATAGTTTACAAATGTTTTGTAAATGATGATTGCATTACCAACTACACCTCTCATTAATCCTTAAAATATTGAAAATTGTTTTTTTCTTAAATGCTATGTAATACATTGTGTTTTTTTTTCATTTTGAAAGATCTACAAAAGACTCGAGTTTTTTTTAAACATCAACGTCTAAAAGAGCCTAAAATAAAACAACATCACATAATATTTATATAGACATACAAAGGGTAATTATACGTATATTAAAGTGTTAATACATATAAGTTCAAAAGAACTATCATCTATAGATAAGTTTATCCTATTTCGTCTATTTCGTTGTATTCTTTGAAGATCAGAAGTGAAATCTCGAAGCTAAACGTAAAAATGAGCAAATCAGCCATTTCAAGCAATTAATTGTTATCATTGGCTTAAGGTACATTATCAAACCACAAGATTCAAACCCCACAGCATCGAGACACAAGTCTTTTACAGTCGTCAGTGTTCTTACATGTATCTACCACGCCAACGGGCTAATATACAATAATTACTTATATTTGACTATATTATTTGTTCATATTATATGCAAGTAAAATAATTTGGTTCAGATAAATAGCTTTATCTCGCTTTTCAGGTTACAAAAATAATGATTTAAGAATAAGGAATTGAGTACTCGTCAATTTCTAGTTCTTATACAATTTGAAAAAAAAAATTGAATCTCTCTAAATATACTTGTCTATGTTATATTTGGAACAAATACAGATTTGATGTTTTATTCTTACATTGAATTCACTTCATGACAAATATTTTAAAGATGTATTTCTATAAAGATATTTCTAAGCAACATATGACTTTACACAGTGCATGCAAAGTTCAGTGGAATGTATTTTTACAAGAACATGTAGTAAATAATACTTGCTTACGTACACTATAATTTAAATTATTATTGGATACTAGCTTATTGATGTAAAATTTACATTTAAATACACATTTTTCCATTTTATTCATTTCTTAGAAACAAATTTTAATGTGAAATTAAAATAATATGTTTTACATTTCACAATATATAAAGTAAAGCAAAGCTAAATAAAAATTGTTTCCTATATTTAGATAATCGTTTGTGCCTGTTTCTGGTGGCTGAAAAGCGCATTTGCTCTTCTTGACAGTGCGAAGAATTTTGAGGTATCAACTCTTTAATGGCACCATCAGTGCTTTCCACCCTATGTATATAACGTTTAAGCTGCAATACCGATTGAGAAGAATATACAATTACATGGTATATAACAAGAAATAAATAAGAAATTAAAGGAACTTTAGGAACCATAGCTACAAATACCAGTAACGAAAAAAACATATGATATAAGATTCGAAACCCATCTAATGTAAGCAGTTACTTACACGACGTTTTCGTTGTCAAAATATCAGTTCGTCAACTTTAGATTTGTAAGTGTTGAAGTCAATACATCTACAGTTTATTATATTAAATGAATCATCCCTTGAAGAATATTCCATAAGTCAATAAATTGCATAAGTATCTTTCTTTCTTTCTTACAGAAATAAATAACTTTACTAATATGACTAACGACATTTTTGACCATCAAACGTTATGTACATATTTGAACTTCAAACACATGCATGATCATGACCGTATTAATACCTTTGCGGATGTTTCTTAATTACAATGACCGATGTTGACTTCTGATAAAGTCCACCATGTACAGTACTCAGGTGGTTCGTTCTATGGGATGGTAGTTACAGTTTAAAGTACCATCCATGTTCAGACTCAATCAAGCCGAACCATTACCGTATAAAATTTTGTAAGGGATTCCGTCTTCTATATTCATTACATGTAAAATCACTTTTGAAAAGCTGTACAGTAATGCACAGCGAAACAAGTTGACAAAGATATTCAGTAGCATGCAGACATAGCTGAGAAGCTGCATCTTTAAAAACGTAACATTTCATAATAGTAGGAAAATAAAGAAACATCAAAAGTATCTTTATTAAAAGTTCTTTTCTGTATAAATGCCAATTCTGATACAATGTTGGTCATATCAATGCGGTCGATTTATCTAACTCACACATGTGCTATTATGCTCTTAAATATTTGCCTTGAAATGATAAGTATGTAGTTAAGAGTATAATTTAAAACAGCCATTTATCTGTTCAAACACCTTTAAGTTGACAGTCTCAGACCATGTAGCCGATTTAAAATGTTTATTTCAAGTGATTGTTGTGTAAGGAAAACTTTGTGCGCACTAATAGAAATGCTTTGTTATGATTGTTTTTTAATCTTTTATTTTTATCTTAAACTAAATTCACGAAGAAACACTGCCAGCTAAATTGTAGATCAGTATTTTCTACTTATCAAATTTTCCCTCATGAAAAAGCAAATGGCTTATTAAAAAGTAAATATTAATAGTATGCGGTGCATTTGTACATAAAGTCTTTAAAAAAACTTTAATTAATAATGATTAAATATTGAATATCTTTTTCAATTCGAAAATTGTATATGAAGCTGTTCAGTTTTCCATACTCATACTATATCAAGCTATTTAGCTTTACAGCATATTGGTATATTAGCAATTTAAGTTTTTTGTTGTTGTTGATTTTGTTTAATTGATAATTTTTATATTTGTCTTACATTTATTACATTTAAGAAAAATATTTATTGCTTCGTATTGTTTGAGCCTGGTCATGGACTGTAGTAAAAATTGCAAGCGAAGGCATATTTCATTGCATAAATACTTTTAAAATCATACAAAAAAACAAAGTGTTCTGTGCCACGGAAATATATCAATGTAATTATTTTCAAAGGAATGACAGCTTCGTTGATAACGAGTAACTTTATTTACTTATCATTCAAAATTAACAAACATTTGAGATAAAACCCTTATGTGGCGTCAGTATACGCAAAATTCTTAAATGTATCGTTAACGTGATTGGTTGAATATTGTGCTCGTATCCAGTAGTTTTCGTAAGCCTTAACTTTTATAGCTTCAGTTTTTTTTAATTTCTTATTATTCAAATGTGCAGGTCTTTAGTTTGGCAGTAATTTTAAATTATATTAAAGGCTGTTCGGAGAAGGTAAAACATTTTTAAATTAAATGATTTCTTTTAAAGTTCCCTTTAATGGTGCTGTGTATTAATAGAATACTTAATAATGACGATTCTACTCATAAATGACATTTTCGTCATGATAAAATCTTTGGAGAAAATGTTTATTTACAGAACCTTAGTAGTAAATATCTTAGTTTTAGAACTTTTGAAAAACGTAAGATATCTCTTTTCAAGAAAAAAAAACAATTTATGTGCATTAACAAATGGAAGATTTTTATGCATTTTTATAATGTTTTTTGAAGTTCTTCCAATATTGGTGTTACTTGCGAATATCGAGAATGTAGAAAGTAAGTAGAAACTCTTAAACATAACGATCACTTAAACAAGAACAAAACAATATTTCTAATCTGTCTTTTCAATCAAATTCAGTTTGAATCTCTACTTTCTGTATTTACATTTTAACCTTTTTTTTTCTAATTGCTATCAAATGATTTTTATGACGTGCTTTATATTAGCAGTTATGATAAAGATATGGTCAATTATTCATTAAATATACGTCGAAATAATCATCAAACATACCAAATTAACTGCTTAATTATTTATGATTCGGACGAAGTCCGTCTGAGAACAGTTTGTGTTTCTGTAAAATATACAGGGAAGAAATGAATAAAGATATGATTTCCATTGGTCATTGTAAAATTACGAACCAGGCGATCTCATTGGCCATTCTAAAATTAGTTAAAGAATCTAACGAATCTTTCTGAAAATTCTAAATTCTTGAATATAGAAATAGAGTTACCGGAAACAAAGTTTCAAATATAACGTAGCTTTTGAAATGTCATCAATTCTCTAATGAACAGCTTATTTACTTATTAACTTTATAGTTGTCTGTGATATAAATGTAATTTTATAGGTTATGTCTAAAATAACGAGACCACCAATATTACTCACGACCCTGGAAACTAATGTGCATGAAAATACCGAAAGTCACAAATTAAAAACTCTGCACTCTTATGAACTCTCAGTAGACTATTTTGAGCGTTCATGATATGATACAAGTATGATTATTGATGTCTTCAATAGATTTGAATCTCATAATTCTCATATACAAGTATATATAATACTGCACGTTTGTAACGAAGCTTTTCATTGGATAATCGTGACGTTTTTATAGTTTTATATACACGGCTCCAGTCGATTCATGAATGCATCTTACTATTTTTCTCTTACAAATGATGCTGTATTATATAGAGGATATTTGTTTGTTTTGCATGTAAGATTGAAATATAATTTCACTGAGTGAACACCAGATGCAATATTTTCACGGGTGGCGTAGCCACGAGTGAAAATATAATAGCTGGTGTTCACGAATGAAATATATTTCAATCTTATATGTAAAACAAATAAATTTTCTTTTTATTTTATGCTTTTTTAGTGATTTTAAGTATCTTTTTACTGATTTTGCCGCGTAACGTCGCGCATTCTCCTTTGTGACGTCATTATATCATGACGTCACATCATAAGTTTTGAAATATAGTTCTGTTAAATTTCTCTAATTTTGTTAAATTTTTAACATGATGTATGATGACATTGACTTTCTTTTCCTAAATAAGCAAATTTACGTATGACGGCATTTATCTCTGCCTGTTATTCCATTTGGTTATGATTTTCTTTTCATCCGCATTCAGATATAGTCCGGCTACAGTGAAAATTATATTTTATAAATTTCACTAGTGGTTTATCAGAATATAATCATCTGATATATTGTAATAAAACACTGGAAAGCATGAAATAAAAATTCGTTATAAAGATTGTTAACAGGTTATATGGCCGTATATAAACGGCTGTTTGCAATATAATCATCGCCTGGCGGCTCGGGTTATATTTACAAATTGCCGTTTATATATGGCCATATAACCTGTGAACAATCTTTATAACTAAAAGTATATTTTTACATTAATGAAGCACATATTATGTTTACATGAATACGCCAGTGAAACTTAAAATTACCGACAGTTTTATTTAGAAACATATCATACCGTGTTTCCTTTATCTAACCATTAAATGTTATTTAAACTATAGTTAAAGTATTTTTGCACGAATGGCTAGGGATCTTCCGGATTTAAAGTGCCTTTTGGTATTGTTGGTTTCTAGAATCATAGCATGAAGTACTTGTATATTGAACAAAGCGCTACTTATATACCTCCGTTCAATTTTTATTTTCATTTCATTTTGTAAATAGCTCTACGAATTGCTAAGTTTATTATGTGAAGACTTAAATGACAGTCACCATCTATAAATGAATAACTTGAGTATGAATAAAATTTTTTGTTCGTGGTGGTGTCTCCGATACAATGATAATGAGAATTACTCTCATTATTAAACTAGCATGTATTTAAAACTCCAAAACATATGCAAGTTAAGTAGGATTACTCTAGCCGAGTATCTTTTCAAGATACTTCTTGGTTTAACCTGATGCAATAAATATTGTGGCCGGTTACGTCTTTTTCAAACCCGCAAGAGTTTTTATCGTTTTATCATAAAATGACGCTGCAACTAACAAACTCGATTTCCTGCTGACATCGTACAAAATGTAAAACTTGATATTTTATAAAAGTTGTTGGAAACATCAAGAAACATGTCCCTACAATGATCGGTATCATGAATAGAAATAAATCTGCGATAGTTTTTACAAGTGATGTAGAAAATCTACAAAAATCAAGGGGAATAACATTTAAGTGTGGCAGAAAAACTTCGAGAGTTTCTATAAGTGGCGACATTTTATACAACTTCGAACCAAAGTCTCGCAGATTTAAAAGTTACCCATGACATTTTATAAACTGACGGTAAACTTTCTGGCGGCTTTAAAATGGTCGGCCACAAACGATTTAACTTTTATTTTTGGTAAAATATTTTGATTTTAAATTGTCTTGTTCAATACTTTTCATGTTTTATACAATTTTGGCAAACAGATTGGTGTAAAGCAAATTCATACCCACATTGTAAGAGTTGGAGCGGTTGTTCAAAGCCATGCGGAGGAGGAACTCGCAAACGGTTGTGTGAATCGTGTTATCTTTACCAAGACAAATGGTTCGAAGAGGGCTGTAACGAGAGGTGCAGTCACTATTACCCCTTTCATTCCGGAAAATGTCATTGCCCTCCATGGAGATCTGGCGAATGCTGTGATTGTATGATCAAGTCAATTAGTTTTGAAACAATTTACATAAATAATATAGATAACTTGTCAGCAGTAACATTTTAAAGCTAACATTATTCGTACAATATAAAGGGGTAGTATTTTTACAAATGTACTTGATAAATTGAAACCTCATACACATTGAATCATTCATCAAATCACTGTAGTTTTTTGTTAAAATTCTAATTTTCATGTAAATGTCGAAATGCAACTAGTGTGCAATTTTGAATTGTATAGTATGAAAAGAGAATGATAATACGTGAATACATGTGATTTGTTCTTAAATATTTAAGATTGCAGACACATTTATATAGCCCAATGTAAACCAGGTCAGCAGATGTGTGGAGGATATCCTGACAAAATATTATGTACGCAATGCTATGATCCTTACTACCCTGTCGGATTCGGAAATGGCTGTAGAGGTATGAAACTCTTTATTCATTATAACCTAAAAAATGATAGATGCATTGAAATGAAAAAAAATGTGTGGTTTATCTTTGTATTAATTGTACGCACAAAATAATATTGTCATACATTTTAATAAATTGAAAGTTGAGATGCGGAAGTCATTTGAAAGTCAATTTTATTAACATTAGAAATAATCGATTGATACCTTTAAGAGTCCAAAGGTAAAGCACACATACTTCAATCGATGATAACTGTACTCACCATTAAAACGATACAATATAGATATAGTGTTAGGATAAAACGTGTTTATATCCTAAAATCGTTGATGATCTTTAAATTGAACTGCTTTCGTCGGGTACATGCTGAATATAAAGCCCAAAACGAGTAAAATATATAACTATTTCTAAGTTAAGGATGTAGAGTATTACTATCTTATTGTAAATTCGGTTCAAAAATGCATTGTGAAAATAAACGTTATGATAAATAACCACCATGTACCTTTGTACATGTTATAAATCTAGACTGTATAGTAAGATAGAAAAGACCTATCAATAATATGATAAAACAGGACAAATGAATGTTAATCCATAGGAAATTGATAATTAAATAAGAAAATAATAATTGTAACATCCTTCTATCAAAGAGTCGTAGCGATTGTAGGAGAACTGTTTCGCTGTCAGTATGTCCCCTACAGCGACAGTGAGATAAGTACAAAATGATTTCAGAAAATGATAGAATGGTACATGTAATGGGCCTTCTGATTGCCCTATCTAACCATGGACAGCAGTTTTATATTTCTGGCCACTCATTACTTCATGAGTTATTCACCAAATCATTCTTAAGTGTAATAAAGTGTTGTTGTTAATCTAGCAGTTCTTTGGAAAGTGTATATCAGTTTCTATACACAAGATTTAAAGGCACGGTTTATTTAAAATATATACCTATGAACATGAACAGATACAAATAGTACTTATCTCATTCTGCTTCTTATTGAAGTACTCCTATTAAAACCATCGTTTCTAAAACAAATACAGTTCATTCATTACAGACTTTTTTTCCTAGACCAAATTACTTTCGACTTATAATACCGACTTTCATTAACAATTTCTTTTTAACAACGCAGTAGACTAAAGTGTACTTAACAATTAAAAATTTACTTCCTTATTATTAGGAATAATTTTCCAAGGTTATCGGAATACAAATAATAAGACGAGGATAATTGTATATAATTTTAGTTGAGGATATATTCACGGCAATTTAACATGCATATTCCAACTTCACTATTATAAGGATGGCTAACATCATTCACTTCGTTGTATTTATCGTGATAAATTTTACATCTACTGATGTCGAAGCAGTTTGCTCTGGGGGTGTAAGCATATGTAATTGGACACCATGGAAGTCATGGTCAGATTGTAGTATGACATGTGGTGGGGGAACTAAAAGGCGATATAGGCCTTATTGTTGTAAATTACACTTGGCAAATGATATCGATGCCTGCATGAGGGACTGCAATCATGACATGGACTATTCTAATAAGTATAGCTCTGAAAGTCAACCATGTAACACAATCTGTTACAATGGTGATTACCAACACTGGAATAATTTATGCAACTGTAGTGATGCTTTCTATGGAGCGTGTTGTTATAAACGTAAGTAAATAGAATATTGATTTGTACCAACTACGTTTTCTTTAGATTTTAGCAAAAAGACAATTTTACATAATAGTATGGAACTGTAAATTCAATTTTAACTTTTATTTTGAAATATATATCTACTCAGATAATAAATTAGTTAGCCTACAAAACAACGATTTAAGTGCTACGTTTTTACATAAAATTTGTATTTTTATACATTTTAAATTTAGTGATAAAAAAGGTTTTGGATGAATTTATATTCGGTCGAAAATTAATTATTTACCTTCGAATATTATCAAAAGCCTACAAAACAGAGCATTGTCAATTTAAAGGATATCACTATAGGATACAATGACATTTTAAATATATATTCTAATAGCATTATGTAACGAAATATGGTTTATCATTTAAAGCATGTTTATATAATAGGTTCTTCAATAAAATATAGATATCTTTTAGGCTCGGGTAGATATCTACAAAATCATCTGACCTTAAACTATAAAGTAATATCTCTAAACAAAAAATATTGCTTTTTTAAACACAACACTTTTCCTTGATGAGATATGCTTACCTTTAAAGAAGCTTCCGGCAAAAAAAATAAATATATATATCAATGTTGTTTTATTAAATAGTTCCCTTTCATTAAAGTGATCTTTTTACCCCAAATTGTTTAATTTTACTTGGTTGATTCTTTTTGATAAAGGTGAACAGTTGTAATTAGCAAACTTGGGTATTTTAGTCTTATTCATGTAAATAGTGATCTCTCAGATACTTTATAGATTGGCAATGTACATTGATTATTGAATTTTACATTTATTTAAACAGTGTACATAAATGAGACTCTTAAATAATATAATGCAATAGTAATGCAATGATATAAGGGTAAGACTAAAATAATTTAAACAAAAGACAATTCATCTCTCAGCTTCTCTAAGTTTCTTACATGCTTATCAGCATGGACTTTATCATTTAAAAGATCGGAATGTAGCTAAATGTATGTATTTTAAAATAAAATATAAAAAGGATAGTCTACATGGTAAAACACATGATTCTTATTTACGCAGTTTGCGATTGTCTTTTATGACAAAGTTTAAAGCAGCATGCCTCCAGATAAGCGAACATATTTCAATAAATCAAACTTGTGAAAAATGTACGAAGATTTTAGGAAAAGTAGTAAGACTTAAGAGTCAAGTAATAATTTACATATTACGAGCAATCAATGGTGAATTTTTTATTATTTGTCACTATATTTTTACTGCGTTACTAACGCAGAAAGGGCATTCTTTGCGTATTTTGACCTCTTTTTGTAATATTCGTAGGTTTTTATTGCCATTGATATTGTTTAAATTGCTTATACAATATTATACGTCAAATTTCAATTTCAAAATTTTCATGAAAATAAGCAATAATCTGCAGGAGGCGTACTGCTTTAAAGCTTGCATTATTGATATCGCCTACGTTTAAAAGTTATAACAATTATGTTTGATAAATAGCTTTTTATTACTTTTTAGCGTAGCAAATCTAAAAAACATATATATCATATAGAGCTTTTTTAAACTGAATTGTAGAATAACTGATAAGATAAGAGTCATGTTATTAATAAATAAGCATGCATGCATTTGTATTTTAGCAAAGATAAACAATTTCAGCCAAGTCGTTTTGTAGTTGCTTTCAACAAGGAACATTTACTAAGTTGATATTATGATAACCTTACTGCATTCTTACATAAATGCACCTTATCACCAGTTTTGCTGATACTTCCTCAATCACAGCTGTTTTAAATTAGTGCTGATGTTTACCTCATTGACAGTTATGTCTGTACATTAATGTTTATCAAGTTCATTTAAGATCATGTTTATTTAAGGGTCAATTCAACTGAATTAATGTTTGACATGCCTTTTCAATGACCGTAAAAGATAGATTGGGTTTTATCTATTTCTAAATCAAATATGTTTCTTTACAATAAAAATGGAATAGTTTAACAGCAACCTAAATTCAAAACGTAATGATAATATATAACTATTGTTGTAACGGCGTCGCGTAAATATCACACGGGCCTAATATTACAACGGTTTATACATGTATTTTAAAACTTGCCTATGGCTTTGTTTACAAACAAAGCGCTTTGGAAATAAGTATAAATCTTCAGCATAGAACAATTATTTCGGAGCATGTATTTGAATATTCTGCGTGAAATTGAGCAAAATCGCCAAATTTTGCTTATTTCGTAGGGCATTTTGAAAAGAAATCCTGCAAAGTTCTAAAATTAGTAAATTATGACAGAAAAAGCTTTTAAAACTTGTCAAGGGTGTTAAACTTCGTTTTTTGTCCATTATTTCTAACTGGGCTAGAACTGGAATTAAGCTGTAGTTGAAAATGGCCAATTTTTCCAAAAACTAGGTTAAATTATCTAAATATTTTGCCCAAAAAGGTACTACAGAAGTAAAACATGTCATTCACAGCCATACACATTTATTTTTAAAAGTAATGGTCTAATAACGTGTCCTACATTGTTCACAATTCATTTATTGGTTGCAATCAGCATTGGCCATAAAAATAAATAACACGATTAGTATCCTTCGAACGTTTTCTTTTTTCAAAATGGCAGACAAATCCTGTTAAAATGTGATTAAGTACGTATGCGTCATTAAATTACATTAACTTTGATATCAAAATGTTACAAAACCTTTTGTCAACTCAAATAACCATTTAGACATAAATGACAATCCAATTAAAAATAGAACTCCACAGCTTTACAATGCATGACCGACCTAATGTGTTTAAGCTGCTATATAATCAATTGATGATGAATTATACACTAACAAAACTATGGTGGCTGATATCTGCCATTTCGTTGTGGTTGTCACAAGTAGCAATAACATGAAAGTGTGACAGAATGAGAAACATTTGTTTTTTATTTTCATTTTGTCACGATATTTTCTTCCCTTTGTCGTTGTACTATCTAAAGTATTTCAGCTATATATTCTTAAATAATGAATTGTATACTCACACAGAACTAGCCTTTTTATTCGTGTTAAAAACAATTAAATTCGGCAGAAAATATTTGCATTTCTATAACATCCAATATAAGAAACGCAGAATATTTGTATTATTTTATGTATGTTGAATTTCCCAGAAATATATTAGTTGCTTAGTCAATGTATCTTCAAATTTTTCGACCTGTTGGCAAGCAAAGATTTAATAAACTTTTTACACGGTTCTTCAAATTCTCTTCTAACATAACTTGCTTTATTAAAGTGGCATTATCCCCATCCAAAGGTTTATAGTGAGGGAACAAAGTACATTTACAATTTTCCATTTATGATTTACATGAACGATAAATAACTAACGTGGCTAAATGAAATTTCTAAATATATCCATCGGAATTTACCTGTAAGGTTAAATCTATAAAAAGTACAGTCTTTTTATATGTTAGTCAGATTTATAATTGTCCTACTCATTTAAAATATCATCAGTTGGTCAATGGAATATTAGCATATGGTCATATAAAAGCTATTATATATTCATTTAAAACACACATCAAAGCAGGTGAAGACATCTCTCTAATTATATCTTTATAACAGAAATATGTCAGTAAATGTATTCAGTATACTTGTACATCTCATAAGGTTATTTTTTATCACAACTTAGAGAATAAACGTTACTAATCTATAAGTAAAAACCATACACAGCAACGTTACCTGTCGTTGAAAAGATAAAACTAAACAATGACTATAGTGGCTAAATGAAATATGTGTTTGAATTTAAATTAATATACTTTGAAATGATTTTTATCAATTCATTTCTTGTGGTGTTGTTATTGTTGTCACAGAAAATGTATGTACGGCAGGATTTTAACATTCTGACGTGTTGATTTGTTGCTACAGGCGAAATATTGAACGTTCTGACGTGTTGATTTGTTGCTACAGGCGAAATATTTAACGTTCTGACGTGTTGATTTGTTGCTACAGGCGAAATATTTTACGTTCTGGTGTGTTGATTTGTTGCTACAGTCTTATCATTTTATATATCAGTGCTCGTGAAATATTACTCATATTTCCTTTACGCATTGATCTTGCAAAATTCATGTTTGGTGTAATGTGCTTACGGCTGGCTCAATACACGTATTTGGAACAACTGGAAATCGTGGACAGTTTGTATATACGTGTGGTGGAGGAACCGGATATAAAACTCGTTCGACTTGTTGCGATAGTGATCTTAATTCTGAATAATGTTTAGACGATAATTGTGGGTATTCTAAGCAGTTCACGCCAAGAATTAAAATGAAATACATATCTTTTAATGGATGTCCCTTTAAAAACAGACAACGTCATTGTCCGGGTACATTTTATTGGACGTGTTGTTATAATGGTTAATCATTTTATCAATTTATTGAAAGTGATTTTAAATCTCATTTTGTCCTTTTAATCTTATCCAATATTTGAATTTATATATCGCTAAATGACTACTCGGCAATAATGCACTTTGGTGTTGTAAGCATGCATGTTGTTCAATGATAAATATTTGTGATGTTTGACAAGATGCTTTTGACTAAAATTTGATAAACACATTTCCAGAGTGCCCGCATATTGAGCATTGTAAGAGGAGAAGATGCAGTACACAATGGAACACTAAGTGTCTTGAGTGTAACTATGATCAACTACTGTTCAAGAAAACACAGAACGACAAAAAATGTGAACGTAAGTTGTTGCACATAATTGAGATGAAGATGTTCTTTATAGTATATTACAATATACAATAATTATATTATTGTCATTATAGGTGATCACTATAAAATTAATTTCTCTAATGTGTACAAACAAGCCTGGAAGTTTGCAACTACAAGTATGGGAAAGAAGGAGGGTAGTTGTTTTTACTTCGAATTATTGACATTTGTATTTCAAAAAATTATAATAATGGCGGAATAAATGATTGATTAAAAGACATAGAATGGTATTGTATAGTATGTATATTTAATGAATAAATCGATTAGATTTTGACCATTTTGTCTTAAGTAAGTAACGAGACGTGTAATGTGTGCATCCATGAAAATTAAGGTGCTATTTGGAAAAACATGCTTATGGTATATCAATGTTTTAATAAATTTCAATTCAAAGATTTCCATTTGATTCTATGACCAATATATATATTGCTTGTTGGAAAACTTGTAAAATAGTGGATGGATACCCGACGCTGATTACCAATGACTAGGACAATGAACGTAGTTACCTTGGGCAGCAACATCTATGAATAAGGATGTTTATTAAAATATATATTGTCCTTATTCCAACGCAAAATAGAAATGATTTGATTGTTATTACAGGCCCTAAATGTCCAGATCGCAAATTAAAAAAAAAAGAAATAGGCCCTGCTACGCAGGTGATTTGATGATAATGTAAATAGAATTATAGAGGTCATACTGAGTGCAACTGCACCCTACAACATATGTGCATTGTATATCAATTATGTTTATTGGATCAATATTGGCTCCGCATCGGATATCGTGTGATATAAATAGACTTTACAACGAAAACAAATTTCAGTCTTAGTTTGAGCTATTGTGATCCCCTTGCGTTCGTAGTCAGTGGTCGTGCGTCATACATCGTGCATCAACAGCAATTTCTTTTAACAACATCTCCTTTGAAACCAATAATACATGAACCAAACTTTACATGAATGTTCCCACGGGTAGTTCCTTTTCAAAGGTATTGACATAGTTCCGGACTGTTGCAAAAGAAGTTGAGAGGGCCAGAAAAGAAGTTTCAAAAATGCAAATTAAAATATATTCTTGTTTGAAATTTACCAGAGCTAAAATATTTGGCGTTAAACATCGTCTACTGAACCTCTATCAACGTTGTATAAATTGTTCGACTATTGTGCAAAATTTGTCCCACCCCGGGGGTCATAGGCTTTCCTTAAATGTATAAAGAAAAAACTTAAAAGATCTTCTCTGTAATGACAAAGGCTAGATAATAGATATTTGGCATGAAACTTTCTGAACATCTACACAGATTTTTCAATTTATGGCCCTATGAACAACATAAGCTCCGCCCTGGGGGCCATGAGTTTTCTTTATTATATACATAAAACAGAAATTAAAAAAAAGTTTTCTGAAAAGGAGAAAGCTAAAGCTTTGATATTATATCTTTAAGCTTATATTTACATGAAATATTGTCTGGTAGACTTGTTTCAACATTGTTCAAATTAAAACCTTGGGGTCAAACTTTTGCCCTTACCAATTGAAAACACTATCTTTCACTGCTTTTGCACAAATTACAGTCTGTTCTTAGGTGAACAGCCAATGACCCACTTGTTCGTGCGTTGTGTTATAATAATAAACGGTGTATCATTCAATTTTTCGAAATCAAAAATTCAGGCTGGCTTTTAAAATTGATATACATTTTCTAAATAAACATCTTCGGTAGAGCTCAATATATAGGTGATCTATTTGTTTATATTACCTTAAAGCTTATAGCTAATAATGAAATCAGGCAATGCACATATTATCTGGACATAGCAAAAAAAGTCCACTCGGTACATTTACAAATATTTAAAGTTGTATGAACTTTAAAGAAACATTATAATAATTTCACTCCAGCAGTCAGTAATTTTATAATTAAAATTAGAGAACAAACGTGTCTATTATACTTATATTTCAGAAATTCCTCAGAATTTAACATTACATCTAGAAAATCCACCAAGTAAGAACCAAGATCTAACTAACAATGCAGTTACTTTAAAGTGTACTACTGGGTGTATTTTTCCAACTCCATCATTTATATGGTATTATTTGCAGGTAATAAATTCCCGGGAAAACGGGAAGATATCATTTTTTCTTTTTTTTCTTAATGTACAAACACATACTTTTCTTTTTTCGGGCCAGAACGATCCATTTATTTAAACACTCTTCATCGGGCACTTATGATACTCTACTTTTCCTTAAATTGATAAAGAAATAATGAACTTAAGTGATTTTAATATTTGAATGAAGCAGTTTGTATATCTTTCTGTTTATCTTATTACCACGAAATGACGAGAATAAACACGTGGTTTGGACTGATGATGAATTTAGTAACACATGTCAAATTCTATATAGCTGAAAATTGTTACAATTTATATTCATATTTAAAGTCGTCGGATGGATCTGGATCTAAATGGTCAAATTCAGAGCCTGTCACAGAAACACCTGGGCAATGTAAAGGACTTGAAAATGTGTTCACCTCAACTTTAGTACTCCGAAAATACACGGTGTTTAATGACAATACTGACCATACCGTCAGGTTTAAATGTGGTGCAACGATTATGAATGGTACCTCCGATGAAGTAAAAACACAGTCATCTGTAAATATTAGATTTGCCGGTAAATGATTTATTAATCTATCATTTTTACGCCCATGACGCTGTTTTGTAACATATCTTTGTCTCTTCACCATCATCTTAAGGACCTGGAAGAGCTTAACAAGTTCATGAGAATGTTTATTTACCATTAACTTTATTTCTTTATGTATGTTAGCCTATTTATTGTTATCGAAGGATCTCCCGTTTCCAGAATTACAGAACTGATGTGAAGTGATGTATTGCAAAGATAAATCTTGTGTTTCCTTCCTGTTGTCGATTCCAGTTCTTAAATTGTTAGGGACAGAATATCGTTAAGGACGTTAATTCATTCGAATGCGTAATTGTGAACTGCTTTGTTGCTTTGTTTTCGTTGCTTTAAAAAAATCTTCTCTTCTAAGATTATTTATAGTAACTATAATATTTATTGAACTGGTGTTTATTTATCAACTTTAACTCTAAGGTTATCTTGATTTAATTTTGACATACTTAGTTATAGTACTGTAGTGGATTTCATACTTGTCATGTCTCATTTTACAGTTAGAGTGGCGAAGGTATCACTAAATATTGAAGGTAGTTCTAGGGTAAGTTCTATAAACGCTACCGATGGTATTTCGGAAATATTCAAATGTACCACTAGCGATAGCAGACCAATACCTACGATTGTATGGTATATAGGACGGACAGAAAAAATAAGAGTTGTCGGTACTGAATCAACGCTTGCTTTCATTCCTAGTATAACAGATACTGGCAAGAATGTTTATTGCAAAGCTTTCAATATTCAGCCAGAAAATGAAGCACTGTCCTCAAACAAAGTCTCTCTCTATGTTAAAGGTAAATGCTATCATGTATTTATCTATTTAGTTTTTGTATTTTGTTTTTCTACATATTTATAGTTTCATTTCTGGAAAGAAATTAATACAAATAATATTTCTTATAACCTGACAAAACTGCATCATATTGTACATCACACCTTCAAAACTTCATGATTATGCAAAAGTTGCTGTAAGACTTTTAACGACCATAAAGCAGGTGAAATCAAACATATTTTGTTTCGAATTATTGTAAAATATTCAGTAATATTATATTCCAAATATATTACACTTCATTCATCTATGGACTTTTGTTTATCTAGAGCGTGCGTCAGTGAATTCGTTATATTTTGAAGAACATGTTGGTGAAACAAACGTTACGATTGACGAGAACTACGTTAACTTGCAACTTACATGTAACATAAGCGGTAACCCTGCATCAAGTGTTGAAATTAAGTTTGGAGTGAAAAGATTAATTGAAAAGGCTAACATAAACCAATTAAGCTTTGTTCGACAGAGAGTGGCTTGTTTCCACAGTGGCGAATATACATGTGTAGGAAAAGATCAATTGGGAATGATAACAAATAAAACACTCTATTTGTTTGTCAATTGTAAGTACTTCTAATAATACACTTCTTAAATGAAAAAAATAAGGGTATATAGGAGATATAATGCATATACAAATAAAATTACCCCAATAAGTTAGCGTACTAGGAATAACATAATATATCATGTTAAAGTTTTTGATTGATTCTTATCTTAAACATCTTTTATTGAAACAAGTAAGGATAGAAATGCTGAAATATCAAATTTCTGCTTTGTTTAAGGTCATCCGCGGCCTGGTTGGCAAGCAATTACGAATACAACTTGCTCTATTGGTGCTCCCGTTACATTAACATTTACTACCATCGCATATCCAACGCCAAGGTCTGATGGTTTCAACTGGTACAAACACATCTCGAATGAATGGATACCATTACAAAGTAATAAAGATGTACAGATATCTGTAATAGGACTGGAAACAAACCTTACGATCGTCAATGTAACTCAGGCAAACCTAGGCCAATATCGATTAACAGTTGAAAACAGCGTCGGAATATGTAACCAGTATTATTTCCTTATTGAAAAAGGTAGGTTTCATGATTTTTGTATAACTATCGTTTTTTTTAATTATTTGTTTGGGTCGTCAGACCAAACAAATAATGGTAGCGAAAATTCAGACCCTGATGCTGTTAATTGCAAATGCCGAAAGTAGGCCGCTTTTTGAAGCGGTTGCTTCCCTTTATATGTACACTAACGCCGAAAAATTCAGGGGAGATAACTGCGTAAAGATTGTCAAATGACAGCGCAATAATTTTCAGGCAAATTAGTTCCCGAATGGTCGAATATTTCTAATATTGTTTTATTCTTTATAGATGTAAGCTCCATGATTATTTACATATGTGTTAAACAACAGGTTTAGCGTCGAAATAATAAGTGTTACAAACCCTAATTTAGAATGATATGGTTTTCTTCAACCCGCCCTATAACTTCACCGTGGCCGAGGGGTTTGCACGCTCGCTTAGGAATTGAGAGGTCTGGTGTTCAAATCCCAGTTAAGGCAACACATTTAAAAAAAAATAAGTCAAATAAACAATGAATTGAATATCAGTGTTGCAATTAGTCTTATAACCAATTTACTACTACAGTTAAAACACTGGAAAGCATTGGTGACACTATACAAAAACAAATTGGTTTATAATCTCACAACCTTCACCTTTCTGACATCCTGAGACCCAAACAAATTCAGCGCCTTCTGTGCTTTGATTTTGTATTGTTGTATTGTTATCATATTAATGGTTTTCCTTGAATAAATTTTGAAAAACAATTTTTAGAAAAAAATCATTATGAAATTTACTGGTGAGTATCACTGGCAAAATTAACATCATCAAAAAGTTGGAAACTTAGTTCTGTCAAAGATTCATTTACCCATTTGAATAAACATGCATGAACATATAATCTATTTTATTTAATAATAATAATGAACAATTACTTTTTAGATGACCCCATTGTTGATGTTTGCATAGAAACTATGGACAGTAGTAATTTCAAAACTGCAACAATAGTATTGGGAATAATTTCTGTCATATGTATTGGTACTTCAGCTGGCATCGTGATTTGGTTTAAACGAAAAGCCAAAGGAACAGGTAACTATGGCGCAATAACTTTGAATGTCATCTGTAACTATTTTTTTTAAATTTTCAATTCCGGTGTTATCATATGCATCAAACATCCTAGGCTTTAATCTTGTTTATATCTTGACAATAGTACACACATAATTATAATTATATTAAATTTTGCTCATACTGTAAATCTTAATTTAAATTAATTCGTAACCAAATAAACTATGTACAGATAAGTTTAAACGTTTTTCGGCAGTTTGAAAACTAACTGCAAATGATTTAAACAGTTAGTGCAATCATACAAAATATGAAGTCCAAACTTCATATCATTTATTAGATGAAAATAAAATAACATAAATTAACCGCCTTCTATTATGTAATAGTCGTTGATCCATGTAAATCATTTATCATTAATGTCATTTGTACAATTTATATCAATGTTAATTGAGGTTTCAAAATTAAAACGTTTATCAGTATAAAATAATTTGCATCACAAAAATACAATGTACGACCCTTCGATATAATTTGTTGATTTGTTCACTTATTTCTATACAAAAGGAAACTATATGGAAAATCCTTTATATTACAGATAGAAAATCATTCAATACGTCGTCACATAAAAGGTATATGTTTCCGTTCTGATTTTTAATAAAAAGTTATATCTTGTATTTATGACATTATATTTTACTTTCTTAACTCTTTAAGCATTGTAAGTAAATACAATTCAGTGGAACATTTCCATACATACAAATATCTATATTTAAGAGCGTCAAAACATTTTTTAAAGGGTCGATGATCTGTCATGATCTTCATCTACTAATGGCTAATAATCCTTGATTTAAGTTGAATATATACACATGTAACTGAATAACATTACGTTCTCATAATAACCAATAACGTAAAGATTGTTGTTGTTGTTTTTGTATTTTAATGGAATGTACCAGACGTGTATACGAGAATCCACCGCAACAGTATGCTGATTTAAATGTGTTTTCTAGAGAAGACATGACAACCTATGACGTTATAGATAATAGCCAATAATATTCAAGTACAGAAATAGCTTAAAACACTGGACTGTAAAGAAAACATTAACGATATCCCAATACAGCCACTGTTTAAGCTGCCATTCATCTTCTGATTACCTGGTATTTGTCTTCTTTACTTATTGGGATGTCTATTCATAAAAGAAAAGATATCCTTATATCTAAGTGAGAATGTGATAGTCTTATGTACGGAATATTTTATTGAAATGATTGCTTTGTAAAAGCATTCTAGTGTTAACTTAATGACACTGAAGTAAATTTGCTATTTGTAATGAGTCCCTGTAGTCAACTCGTTATTCAAGAAAAAGAGATTTTGCCAAGAATCCAAAACAAACTATGAAAACGTAGTGATGTTACTCTAAGCGCACAAAAAGTATTGTTATAATGTAAATTTTATAATGCAAGTTTATTGATTACTGATGTAATTATACTAATTACATTTTTATGTTCATGTCATTTCAACTTCATATATATTGTTTGTGTATCATGTAATCAGTTTTATATTTTTCCTTAAATATAACAAGGTCATGTTAATTATAAAAATTATAATCTGTTTTTATACATTTTTGTTAGAAACATTAATTACGGCAATTACATTGTTTATTATACATACAAGAGAAGCCAGTGTGAAAACAAGTCTCAAATACAAATAATAAAAGGTGATTTGATAAAAACCAATATTTACAAAGTTAATTGAAATGGCTTCCTGTAATATTGCACAGCTTTCTGTGTAAAAACCTGATAAATTTTTCTATGGTCATCATTCACCATCCATCGTGCTTAAAATAAATTTGTGTTTAAATAAATATTGGTTTTTGAATTATATATTGATATTCAGTTACCCCATCTATTCCAAAAATGCGTTATAATAGTATATACTTTATGTTGCTTTAGAGCTTAAGCATGGTACAGGCATTGCCGAGCGGATTTAGCTCATACCGTTAATAACATGAACTTACATAGCTTATTGATCCTTTTTAAATCATAAAACTGTTATAAACATCAAACTTAAGGTGAATTAAAGCGAACAAGTGATCTTACAATTACAAGACAAAGATATAAAACAAGATTATCTAAAAGCCATTATAATGATATAGACATTCACTATTAACAGGTCCAACTTCTTTAACATAATATGGCGTTATCAAAGCCATATTCCCAAATGAATGTTTTTTTTCCAAGTGTTCAATGACAAAATGATACAATATTACTAAAGCAAGTCTAACATTTTGGATGTCTGTCATACAATATGACTGAAGATAGTCATACAATTTGGATGCCTGTCATCCATTATGACTAAAGCAAGTCTAACATTTTGGATGCCATAGTTATTGATAATTATTGAAAGGATCTTACATGGCTACTAAGCGAATCTTTTATTCAAAGGCTCCAACATAAGTGATTATTTTGTATGTCTTCAGATTTTATTTAGATAAGCAGACGTGTTCAATATTACATGTTGATTGTGTTTTCTTTTTCTATCCAATTAAGAGACTATGTATCGTGTATTAATTTCTTGTTATTTGTTATCAACCCACAGGCTGTCTGATTGATGTATGTTTTGTTTTTCTGGTCTCCAAAGACGCATATATCTATATAGCAAAGGGCAAAAAGAAAAAAAGAAAACAAATTAAAACGAAAAATGTGTTCAATTGTTTTCATTATAATAATCATTATAAAAACAGGACGCTTAATAATTAACACACATTCAGGTTTAATATACATTCTGCTACTAAACAATCAAAATACGACCAAGAGACAGCATTGTCTATTGCTCTACAATTGCTGAGGCACCATTTCAACGTATGAAATGAAACGGAATTGGTTTAAAGATTATTTATGCTCAAATTTGATATTTAAAAACATTAATAATTGCTATACTATCTCTTTTCAAATGTAAAAAAAAGCATTTTAGATGAAAATAAAATGGATAAGATAATGTTACATTTTAAATTCTGTATGCTATAGGTAAACATATCATGAATTCATAGCGTCATTAAAAACTGGACGTTATTTTAAGAAAGAAGCAAACTTAGCCTAGCCAGTAATAAGGATTACACCCATTGTGGCTGGATTGTGATACCACATACACTTTATATTTTATATTGCAATTTTCCAATTATAGTGTTGCTTAAAGTCCACATATTTTCCTTAATGCATTATTAGCACGACCTTTTGCATTAGTATAAACCCTAAACACCCGTAGACTGTCTAGCAGGGTTCGGACCCTTAACATAGGCATCAACTTCATTAGACTATCTGGCAGGATTCAAATCCACACCATAGCCAGCGTTCTTAGCTATACACCAAAGGAGGGGCCTCATTAAGCAATATAAAAGATGTATTTGCCTGTATGATGTTCATACATTATGTAAATAGTAAATACAGTAGCAAAATGCTGACAAGATACAAAGCTACACATTAATTCAAAATAATGTACAAACCCACTTACCTGTAGAAAGTACGTGCCGGTGTTATAAATATCCATAACTCGTTTGCCATTTTATCAAGTTTGCTTTTTTTTCTCGCCTGAACCAAGTATGCAACCACTTCACGTCCTGCCATTTGATATCATGTATACCAATATATCAATTAACACAATCATCGCTGTATCCGACCCTACACCCAAAGAAGGCGGATAGTGTCATAATACTTTAATAGTGTTTGTGGTACCGAAAGGTCAACAGAGAAAATAACGAAAGAATCTACCAATCCTAAAATGTATTCTTTATCACGTTTATTCCAAGTATCCATCAGATAGCAGTTTCTTGTCCAAAGAAAATTGTTTAAAAAATGTGTCCAAACTTCACTTTTTTCTACACATGTATGAAAAAAGAATAAAAATAGTTAAACAGTATTTTTGAAAATTCAATACAAACGTCATTTGCTCGACAACCAGCATTGTATACCACTGTCTTCTGATTGGTAATGAGCTCGTCCAAATAGCATATCTGAACGATATAAATTATAAAGATAGTAAACATTTTACTGGAAAGAGAATAGAAAAATAGAAAAATCCTTCAATAGGTTTATGATATTCAGGACACATTTTGATTAAAGAGGTAGCTATTTAGTTTTTTAACGCACTTAGCAACGAAACAATGATCTGCCTATTTGATCGGGTTTGTAAATGAAGGCTTACCTCATTGACGCCACATGTTATAGATCCGCTACATTGGTCTAGGCTAGAAGCTCTATTGCAACTCCTACATGCCAAGGTCACCGTTTGGCCAGTCTGTCCAATTGCTTAAAGTAAAAGGATTAACCGTTCTATACTCAAGCATGATATTATTTGTTTATATTTCAAGCTCTGATATTCATGATGGAAATGTAGCTTTAACAAAATGTGAGAGTTTTGTGTTATGCTGTTTATCTACTGCTGAAAATTATATTTCTTTCCTTGTGTGTTAGTAATTGATATTAATATCTTTCTTAAATCGAGAAAAATATAAATAAAAACGTTAATGCTACCATCGGCGGCAAGATATACATTTCATGCACTCTGATTAGTCTGTATGCTTTACGAAATATTTACCCTATCCAGATATTTGTACCGATAAAGGTATCGATGCTTGTTTAAATTATTTTTTTATCGATAATGGCTATGTAATGGTTTTTATATTGGTTTCGATAATTGTTTTCAGTAAAATGTTATCAGATAACAATTACCTGACTTTGATGTAAAATACACAATGAATAAAACATTTAGCACGAAACCTGAAAAGCAACATATCATGTTATGATTATACAATATATTATTTTCATTATATATACATTTTATATAGGGAATTAAATTAGTGTAAGCTTAATACTAAATTATTTGTCTACAGTTTAGGTTTTATTTTGTTTTACGTATAGCATAGCGTTTTCCCCAAAACTGATGGAATGAGTTGAATTAAAACATTAGGTGCGAGCCTTTGGGGAGCATAATATGGTTTTATTAAAGCAACACGCCTCCAGAAGATATCAGAAAAACTTTCGTCGTAATTATGTTTCAAAATCTCTCTTTAAAACAAAATATATATAGCTGAGAGAAATCGAAATGATCATATTTTAACATTTTCGCTTTTCCTCACCAACAGGATATCTAATACGGAATTATTTCATACGTTTTTTTCTCGCACCACGTAATGTTTTGCGATCTGTGTTTCAAAAAGCACGGAATCCGGGATCGTATAAAAAATTAGAGGGAAACGAATGAATTTCTTTGGTAATTATGATATTAATTTGCAGTCCTTAACGTTATAATTGAACAATTGTATCATATATATAATGACCAGTATATCGATTTAAACTTTAGCTTGAAATATGATTAGGGCCTGCTCATTAACGAACATTGATATACGACCCTGGGCGTACCAGATTCCGGGATTTTCCGAACCAATGTTGTGACACGTGACCATGTTGAATCAATTACATTTCATATTCATATGATACTGCATTACTTTGCGACAGTAGATTATGCAAAGACTTTTGACAACCTTCTTTCTTGAATTGAGATGTAATAATGGATTTTTACATCAAACGTTACAAGTCTAGTATTGACCGTTTACTTGAAATTTTCTTTTCTTTTTGTTTCTTTTCAATTTACCGTCTTTAGGCGAGTGGCTTTAAATGAGTTAAAAAATAGTGATAAACCTGCATGAATGTAAAACCATTTACCGTTTACGGTTTTACGGTATTGTAATAACGGAAAACAACGAAAAACGACAATAGCACTAACTGTTTGTAATCACAAGCAATAAAACTGAAAATATATACATGTATATCTTGAACATTGTACGTTACACTCTTATGTTAGCAATAGGCGTATAGCTTTACGTTTACTGTTAATAATCCTACCAATTTTGGATTGCAGCATCTTGAGACTATCCTATGAATGTCAACGACCTATATTTTCCTGTTCGTAAAAACACAAATGTTAAACATATTAAAACACTTTCATATGAAAATTCGAATTAAAAAAGTCACATTTTATGATACTGCATGTTTGTAACGTCGATGCTCATTGTACAATAAACAAATGGCACAAGTGGCACCCATCCTGTATATAGCACCTGAATTTATGTTATAAAATTTTGAGTGTTTTCGTCCGAAAAGTAAACATGATTGATGACATTTACTAAACTTTTCAGAAACGTAACTATTATCATTTTTTAATATTGAAAGAAAAAAGAGATCTTATAATCTAAAATAAGCAACATACTTTATAGTTTGCAACTTTCTAGTTATTTAACTTAAACACCTTTAATAAGTAACCGAAATTGAATAACAAACCCTAAACGTATCCTTAATTTGTTACTTCAATTCCTACATAACAAAGACCAGTCATACATGTACATGTATTTCATAACAACCTGCTTATCTCTGGTTATATATAGAACCAACAAAATCAATGCGTATCTGTGAGATAAGAAAATGTTTGGATGAATCCTCTCGTCAACTTTAAGAGCGACGCCATCAATTTCCTGACAATAATTTACGTACGCGCTCGCCATCCTCGATGAAATTTTCTCAATTTTCAACGCAATTTTTGCGTCTACACACTACATATAACATATGTATGTAGTCCAAGCTGTGATAATTCGTTTATCTCTTCATGTGAAAGTGTTCCGGCCAATCTAATGTGCCGTGTTTCAGCCCAGAGGGTCGAAACCGCACAATTACAACGTACAAAAAAGTGATCAAGTGAATAAATAATTAATTGATAATCGCAAGTTCGTCAATGTGTCCTAGAGTATTGATCACACCGCTATGGAAACATTGGATCCCATACATCTCTGAAAGCGCTTTCGACAATCAATAATATACTATTAGAACGTTAAGCCTTATGTTAAACACCCGTTCTCCACGACGTTTGCGTACAGCACCCTCGATTTCTATGCCTACTAAGGTAAGTCAGTTTTTCGCCGGTGTCGTTTTGCGACTTATTTACCTTAACTGTATCAGGATGTATTACGAACGGTGCTTATTCAAATATATATATATATTCAGGTGCAAATGATCTGGCCACTCCAAGGTGCCATGTTTCAGCCCATAACGTATTCGCTTCGTTGCAACATACGAAAAAGTAAAAATCACGTTATAAACAATGCTGGTTTCGTCCTCCGTGGCACTATTGTTCGTCAAAGAGTCAGGAAATACTCTTTTGTTGAAAAGTTGGAACAAGTTAAACGTTACGTCTACTTAATATGTTAAAGCGATCCAATGTTTCGCCAAGTTTTACTACACACCAGAATGTAAAACAAACATGCAATGCCCCAGCAAAAAATACCTTGTTTGAGCCCAGAAGCTGACTGCGCCATTTTAAAGTTCCAAAAACGTTTATTAAAAATAATAATAGAAAAACAATAGCTATTTCGTCTTTCTTTTCGTCCTGTGAAGCCATGAAATGCACCTTTATGGAACGTTAGAACGCGTAAAATCTTAGTTATATGCCTGTACATGCAATCCCAACAATCAAAGGTATCGGCATTCTGTCTGAATCTTAGCGCCCTATGTAAAACCCCCGTTTCGACATGTTTCTCTACAAAGTTTCTTGTACTTCGGCGCAAAATTTCGTGCTTGAGTCTTGTTCGTTCTCGAAATTATAGAGGATTATTTCTTTTCAACACTAAGAGCGGAGACCTCCAGTCAAACGTAAAAAATAACATTCGCATACACCGATTTCAGGATTTCAGACTTTCGTCAATTAAAAAAACACACAAAAAAAAAACCCGCGTGAAACGTGAGAAAAATCAAAAATACGATTGTGAAAACTCGAAATAACGTAACCACGATGTTGAAAGGTCGAAAGTAAGATGGCGAAAACACGAAATAATTTCGTGGTTTCGTTATTTCTGCTTTTCACAATCGTACTTTTGACTTATTTCATCATCGTTCGTTTAACGTTTCGCCATCGTAATTTCGTGTTTTGTCATGTGTGCGTTAATTTATAAAAGAGTGGGGCTGTTTTTTTTACAAATAAATTAAGGTAACCTATGTTATACTATCCTAAATATTTGCTATTATCATTTATTGTCTCTTTTATAATAGCCATTCTTTTACAAATATACAACTTATTTATCTTAGCTTGACAGTGAAATCAATTAGTATGTCATCATTGACGAACGTGCACATTACCCCGGATCACCGCCTCACCAACTTCCAACTCGTTACAGTCTTGAAGCGAGTTTGCTTCTGTACACATGATATAGCACCAGAATGTAGCACAAATGGTGCCCTATCGTACAAGTAATTCGGATGTTTGGTTGTGTTTTGGTGGACGTGCGAAGCTTAATACGTTTTAGATTATATTGTGATTCATTTTGCTGGTGCTAATGATGTCAACGCGATGCAAAATCACCTCAGGGAGTGCACTCTTTACCCAGGGTAGCCACACACGGTATGGATTTTGATGAAATATATTTAATTCTTTTTTTAAATTTCTCCAAAAAAGGTTATTTAGCAGTCATCGTAATAAATAACCAATTGCTATTTAAGTACTATGTTTTTTTTAAATGCAAATAAAACAGTTCTTATTCAGTTTGCCCTTGTAATGCTTGGATACCGATAGCAGGTTATTATTAAAGATGGTTTTTAACCTGTGCTCGTATTTCTAGCCTTTGTTTCATAAACATATAGTTAATTGATGTTTTACCCGCTTGCATGATAAAATATTCTTAGAATGCAGAGATTGCAAACATTATTATCATACAAATATATTGTTTGCACCAAAGTCATCTGTTTGAACTAAATTCATTTCTTTTTGCTTTCTGCTCAGATGTCAATAACTTCCCTCGTTTTGTATCCAAAACATTTTAAATTGCACATTTGTATCAATCAG